ATATTTCATAGTTCAAAGTTTTGTCAATTGTTTTGTTTATTGGTCAAATACTGGTTTCTAATGGTTTCTGAGGAGTTTTACTGGAATGAAAGAGCACAGAGTACAGAAGCAACAAAGCAGCATACTGCATTAAACCTGACCTTCACAGAGAGGTTGAAGTTCATGTGGAGAGGAGGCTTCAGTAGTCTGTCTGCATTCTGTTTAGTTGTGCTATCTTACAATCAATATAGTAAATGTGAGGTAAAGTGTGTCGCCAATGTAACCGGTTAGAACTCAAAGTTGCGATGAGGTCTTAAAATGTATGGAAAGGGTCTTAAAAAGGGTCTTAAAAGGTATTAAATTTGACCTCAGGATTCCTGCATATACCCTGTTTGATATGTTTGGATGTTCAATACATGATATTTGTATAAGGCTCTATGATCTCTGTGAAATCTGTCATGCTTGCGCAGATATTTTTTTTAGCTTCACATGAGCAAAACCACACTGCCCAAGAAAAATGCAGATTGCTACAGTAACTTCGGGTTAGTAGCAAGGTGATCTCGGTGATGATGTATCATTTAAAACAACAAAAACTGAAAAAACCTAACAGAACTGACCAGAGGGCACGACGGACTACGGCTGAAACGGCAAACAGGACAGGAACATAAACGAAGAATCGACCAAGAACACTCAGACAGGCCTAAATACAAGACTTATCACAAAGACACAGCTGGAAATGGCACGTGAAAAACAGACACAGGCGGGAAAACACAGGAAGTAAAACAGGACAAGACACAAGGAGGACATATATTTCAAAAATAAAACGGGAAACATATACACAAAATTAAGATCATGACAAAATCTTTATTTCAGTTTTATTTATTTTTATTTTCAAAAGACTATTTAATTAGATGAAAAGTTACATATTGTATGCTGTTTGTTTAGTTTTATTTTTTTCCAGTGATATGATCTTCATGTTACCACTAAATTCCTATTTCACTTTTCTGTCTTCAGTTTTCAGATAATTGACCATTTGCTGACATATGCCCAAAGCTAACGCTTTTCTTTTTGTCCTATATGATTTTATTTACTTACAGATGTTTCGGAAAAAAGCATCTTCCTCCTTGAGAATGAGAAGAATAACAGAAAGCGCTAGATGTAATGATGAATTTATTTCCTTGCTCATTAGAAAAAGGTGGATCAGTGTTCAGTTGGTAAAATGTTGTGTTGTCAAAGAAACCACACTGCCATTGCAGCACAACAACCCCCTAAAAATTGACAAATGTGAAAAAAACATGTCGTTACATAAGTAAAAGATGACAAAATTATCCTTTTTGATTAGCATCTTTCACAACAAATTATTCCCATGTGGTTTACATTTTGACAACATTGGATGTGCAACTGAGAACACATTGCTTCTGTCTTAAACCTTGCATGAATAATTTCACCCAAGAGTCTGTGGGTCGGTTTAGATGATTCCAAGTCACTGGGTTTTGTTTTCCTTGCTTCCATTGTAATGAATTACAATCTATATATTTAAACAAAAAATGAAATGCTTTGTGAATGGATTCACTGTGATCTTCTGAGGTTCAAACGAAATTGCCTATTTCAAATTGGTCCATCTTACTACCTAAAAGCTGTGTTTTGTGACACATTTGTTGTCCTTCAGTTTTATTTTCAATAAAAACAATAGGAAGCTTTGCTGATGACATTAGAACAATCTATTTATGCCTGTGAAGCCTCGATCAAGGATGTAAAGATAACCTCCACCTACTTTCCAGACATTTGACACTGTCCCTGCCTTGATAGTACATTTGAGGACAATTATGATAACCAAAAAGATGATATCTCAAATGTGCTGTCTTTCTGCGTTTTCTATGACATTTAAATAGATAACATGTTACATCGAAAAAATTTGATAATTTATAGTAAAAATAATGATTACATTTGCAAAGAAAATTAGATTTTTGTCCCAATGCCTAAAAGGACACTATTCTTACAAAGCCTTTTAATGAAAATAAAAAGCAGTGATGCCATTCTCGGCAAATGACGCCAAAACACGTCAAAATATGAAAAAGTGGTAAGCAGCTCTGGCTACTTTCTTTTTGCATCAATATAGGATCCCTTCAACCACCTTTTGAATAGATCGCCATTGCGATATTTGCACATATCAAAAATCCTGTTTTTATTCAAGCTCTTGTCTCAAACATAGATGTGTTTTTTGTGTGGCCCTGCACTTCTAACCCAGGCTCGAAAACATTTGGCTAGTTGGTCTGTGTGAAATGCACAAAGCTGACTGTAAACAGGCAAGCAGCATTGTGTCACTGCAACAATAAGCCCAACTGAGCCATATGTCTAAATCAGAAAATACTACATCTCCAAACCGAATATTCTATATACAGAATTCCTTTCTAATTCAGAATATTGTCATGTTCAGAATAATAGCATGTCATTATTGTGCATGTTAACATGGTCGTTGTCAAGACACTCCAGATTAGTGCTCAAAGGTTTCCTTTGATACTATGATGTTAAATTGAATTTGCATTCACATACAATTCTGTAAAATCATATAATGACAATGCCACTTTTGTCCTAAAAACAAAACCTGTGAAAGATGAACATTTTACGTAAGAACAATCCACAGGTAGACATTTTTGTATCAGCATATCACAGCTTAGTTCAAACAAGGACACACCGCTTTCTGCTCCTTTGTGTATCTGCACTTTTCACTTTCTCTTTTCAGTTTCGAAATTGCCTAGTTAACCATTCTTAAGTGAAATCCATATTTAGTCATTACACAGCTAATGTATGTTTTTGTTTGTGATCTGGGTTTGAGGTTTCAAGGTTTTATTGAAGGTTTGTCTGTGCAGGGTTGACAAAAAATATTTTTCCTACAAGTTGGACAGGGATGGTGGTGGATGGTCCATGTGAAAATTTGACATGAATACTTTCTATACTTCGCTTTTGTTTTGTTTCTTCCCTTGTTATTCTGAATGACTTCACATGGTTTAACCTTATTAAACTGTTTCTCTCATCTCTTTGTCACACTGCTTCCTTTTTCTTTCTCTCTCTTTCCACTTACTCTTCTTATCTCAGGGAGTATTGACCGTGGGCGAAGCTTGTCCTTCCATGAGGTTCGTAGCAAGCGTGAGGCAGAGATGAGGGCCGCCGCAGAGGAGTCGTCCAGCAGCAACAATGTAGGAGGGGGAGGAAACACCGTCCTGCAGCGCCTCCTGCAGGAGCAGATGAACCGGAATTATGTGCTGCATCAACATCAGCAGCAACAACAACAACAACAACAACAAGGAGGGGGAGGAGGAGGAGGTTATGCGCTACCTGATGATCACTCCATGACCCCCCACATTGCCCGACAGGAGCCCCAGGGACAGGAGCTGCAGACTGACAACGGCCTCGAGAAGCTGGGCTCCACCAGAGTAGTAGGAGGAGGAGGTGGGAGCAGTGGAGGGGGAGGATGTTTGGGGACTGTAGGTGGAGGAGGAGGCAGCAGTGGATGTGTTGGAAGTGTCCATGGGCAGTGTCCAAACCCTGAGGACCTCCCTACATATGAAGAAGCCAAAGTGCAGTCGCAATACTTCCGTGGCCATGGTCCTCCTTCTCATCAGCAAAACAACCAGCTCCAGCAGCCCCCTCTCTCGGCCTCGGTGGGTACTGCCTTCTACGTCACTGGGGTGACCAGCACCAAGGTTCGCACTGAGGGTCGGCCCACAGTTCAGCGGGTGAGTGGAACAGGGAGGGTGCACCAGGACGATGGGCTGAAGGATCTAAAGCAAGGACACGTTCGATCTCTCAGCGAACGACTAATGCAGCTCTCCCTGGCCACTAGCGGTGTGAAGGCCCACGCTCCTATCACTAGTGCCCCACTCTCTCCACAGCTGCCCCCGCCAGGGCCACCGGGGGACTATTACAAGCCGCAGCATCGCGGCCCACCTCCAGACTACCCCTTCAAAGGAATTGGCTCTCCTAGCAAGCAGCAGGAACCTGGAGGCCATTTTTATCAGGAGCAGAGAGGCAGGGAGCAATCAAGGGAGGTGCTCCAAGTCCGATACCAGCCTCCGCCTGATTACGGCTCATTCAGGTAGGAACTGTTAAATATGTTCTTTATTCTCGCGTCCAGGAGAGAAGCTTTAAAATGAGACTAAATGGAGTCAATGAGAAGATTCAAATGGGATACTTTAATTTAAAAAAGGCGCGGTAGTGTTACAGACAGAATATTGTTCAGGCAGAAAACAGCTGTGATCTGGCTCTCATGAGCAAGAGAAGAGGGCCAATCCCTCGTCCGGTGCTGCTATATATATCCTCTGCTGGCTCCTCCCCGCCAGCCGGCTCGCCTCGTCTCTAATGTCCGTTGTTGCATTTAAACAGAGGATTGGTACTTTTCACATTCAATATATGCTTAACCCGCCTTTTCTCCTCATATTCTCTTTCATCACTTTTCATGTAACACATTCTAAAACGCTGTAATCAATACTCTAAAACATACAGAAAATACTTCACGGCTGTGGTTTGGTATTCCGGATGTTGTCACATGCTACTCGTCTGTAAACAATAATGTATTCAAATAAACTGTACTTTCATTTAATATTCAGCATGGTAGTATCTCGACATCTATAGTTGTAGTGTTAAATCAGTAGGTTTCGGTTTGCACCACTCCATGTCATTTCGCTACTCAATTCACCTCTTTAGGAAATCGTATATTAGCCACATGCTAAATGCTAACCGTAGATGAAGGATTTTCAGAATAAAAGCTTAACTGCTTGTGCACAAGAATTTCTGGTTTTTCAGTATAAA